GACCGGAGACTTCCCGCCTGGTCCCGGGCGCGGCCCTTGCGGTCGGACCTGCCTAGAAACCGGGGCCGCCCCCCGGGCCGGAGCCGACGCCATTGGGGTCGGGCCCAAGGCCCGCGGGCGGTCGTGTTCGCTCTACCCCCCGGCCTGGTGATGTGTTGGTTGCTTGTTTCTCGTAGGAGGCGAGGCCGGGACAGAGGGAGCCGAGCGCTGGGGCTGTTCGGAGATGCAGAAAGTACCGAGTCCTGGAGCTGCAGCGAGGGCACGAGCGAGCCCCTGCGAGAGGCAAGAAAGGAAAAGGTCCTGGTCTGGTCACAGCCCCACCATGGGCAGGCAGGGGCCCAGTCCTAAGCGGGCATCGCCCTGGAAGGGCAGTCCCAGGAGGGCCCTGGCTTTTGGGTCGCCCCCCTCGTCCTCCAGGTCGCTAGTGTCCCGTCGCTCCTGGCGTCGCTCCAGTCTGAAGGGAACCAAGCGTCGGAAGTCACTGCCTCCTTTTCACCCTGATGTGACAGGTACGTGCTGCCTACTTTATCGCGAGCAGGCTGATGGGAAACTTATGTGAGAATCCAGGCCAGCAGAGCTTTGAGTCAGTGGGTGTAGTATTTAAAGCGCAAAGAGACCAGCTTGGCCCCCAAAGTTGTTTCATTGTGGACTGCGTTGGCTGTACCCGCACTTGGAAGTTAAATGTTCTGCTGCAGTGAACAGTCTCCTCAGTCTTGCTGATTTCTCTCAGGTGCAAAAGCATGAGTCCAGGTATGGACTATTTCAGCTACTCACAGCTTGGGGTAAATGCTACCTTTTAAAAAGTTTTGTGTTTACCTTTTTTTAGAACTGAGCAAATCAATCAGCCTGGATTTGCCAGGGACTGACAGACTTGCTGAGCTCCTGCTGTCCAGTTTTCAGGTGAGGCTTTAGTTCTGTAAGGGGAGAGGAGAAAATTTGCTGCGGTGCTTTTTACTCTTCCTCCTGTTGCACTTAGCTAAACCACAATCATTTTCCTCTCTTTATCAGGTAGCCTAATGAAAAGCTACTCAATGTCCTTTGAATAGCTGTTCTTAAAAAAAAAAAAAAAAAAAAAAAAAAAGATATTGCTTTTTTTTATTCTTTTAGTTTTCTGCCCAGAAGCTGGAATGTGCCTTGATGCAGACTGATGGGTTCAGCCCTGAGGCTTTTAAAGCAAACAGTGAGTCTCTTTGGAATATTTTTAGTTCTGCATTGGGAGAGTCGTTTCTTCTGTTTAAGATGGAAAAAATGTTTTTTGGGAAGCAGGGGTGTGAGCAGCTGAAGAGCTGTAAGTCAGTAGAGCACCAAATGAAGCATTGATTGCAGAGTTGAGCTTCATTCTATTGAAGTCCATGGAACCGATCACTAAACTGTCCACTGATGCAGAACTGACCTCATTTGCAGGGAACTCGGTTTTAGAGGAGCTGAAGCGCTGCATAGAGAGATTGAAGCTGGATGGAACGCTGAAGAAATGTACGGAGGAGACTCCAGGGTAATGACTTGTCTCCACGGTCACTATGTTATTGTCCCATGTTAGAGTGGAGAGTCTAATTTAGCTCCTGTTCAACTGCCTTGCACTGGAGCACATTAAACTAATCAAAGTTCTGCATCTATAGGCAGTAAGAAGCTCATATGGATGTTGAGGATGATATGATGTGTTGCAGGATTAGTCTTTGGTACTGGAATGTTTTAATTACGGATAAAGGTCTACAAGCTAAAATGCCACAACTCTTGTCTGCAGAAGTCATGTGAGAACACTGAACTCACAGCCCCTGAGAGTTCATGCTTTGGACAAACGTGGGGACTCTGTAGGTGGGTCAGTCATACATGTGTTAAAGAAAGAAATCTGCTGCTACGGATGGAAAATATTCATTGGAGTAGTCGGGGCACTCGTGTCTGGAGTAGTACTAGACTCATCCACAAGTGTGTGCTTGGTTGCATTTGTAGTCCGTTACCTTATGTGTTTGTGCAGGCACAATGCAAAAAAGCTAAGCAATCATCATGATCCTGTGTGGGTACAAACTGCCTGTTGATATACCTTTTGGAATGTATTTCACTTCATGCTTGTGTGTTTTAGGGTTTTGTCGGATCCTGCCCTTGGCGAGTCATTGGCCCAGATTAAGGAATATATAGCCAGGTGAGATTAAACTTAGTCCAAGCCTAGCTTCCTACAGTTGGATATAGATGAGCCTCTTCTTGCAGTTTTCTGTATTGTCATTAAGCCCCATGTTTAAACACCAAGTTGTGCACTTGAAATGAGGGGAGAATGCTATCTGTATATGAAGAGAAGCTTGATGTAGGACTAACACACTAAACTCTCTCAAGAACCCAGCAAGCTGGTCTTTCTCCCACACTTAATCTTCCTGTCCTCTTTTTGCTCATTTTGCAGGTTTACTGTGGAGTGTCAGTCTTGGGATCAGCTTGTAATAAATTATGAGAAAATGGCTGAAGAAATGCCCAGGTTAGATGATTATCCTATGTCTTATCCTTCTCAATTAAAGAAAATGAGATTTAATACTGAGAATCTAACAGGGCTTTAATTTGACCCTTTGAGTATTATTGCAATATTTTAGATTTAAATTACTTTAAAAAAATCTTTGGCATTTGGGGTCGCCTGTAAATTGTGTGCTCTAAGTGTAACTGAATTTACATAGTCTCAGCCCACAGTTATGCCTATGGGAAAACATGCAAATAATCTGCTGCCAGTCATGCCTATGCCAGGCTTCATGGAAACTGGACAGTTAACATTGTGCAGTGGTTAAATTTGTTCTTTGCTGTATTTGTATTTTTTTTTGTTTTTTTTTTAAAGACAACTGGAGAAGTGCAAGGCAAATGAAGTAGAGGTGGATCCTGCTGATTATTTAGGATCATCTCAGGCCAAGGTTATCAACAGCAAGCCTGACTACCAGAGAATATTAGACAGCCAGAGTGAGGTCTTTGATTGCATGGAGCTTGTGGTGAGTAACAGGGACTGAGATGCAACATAGTATTAATTTACCACTTCAAGGGAAATGGAAATAATGTTGAATTATTTGGTAGAGAACAGTGATCAGATGTTGATTGTTGGTGGAAAGGGGTGCAGGTAGGGGGTTGGAATGACAGTGAACTAGTATCACTGTGTGGGTACATCAGTGAATTAACTAGATTTCACTATACAGAGAGAACACGTTTATTGTATATTGTTGTGGAAACGCCAGATTCTTTTCTCAATGTTAGGTCACTTGCCTTTGGAAGAGACAGAATATGTGGGAGCTTTTAGAGTACTTTTGATCCTTTCAAGAAGGGTTTTCTTCTGTACTCTGCAGCATGGAATTTTAGCACAAGGGTCATTCACTGTTTACAGACAAATTCTCCAACAACAAACACGAGAAAGGTGTTGCTCTGTTTTATATTCATTCTGTGTTACATACCTGTATGACAGGTCTAAAAAACCCGTGAACATGTTTACCGAATTAATTATTGATGCTTTGGTTTAATGTTTGCTTATTCATCTAGTTCATTAAACCATCAAAAGCATTGCTTTTCTTGTATGTTGGAAGTTTTCCTGAAGTTTCCCCTCTTGTGTTTTGCAGCTGGATGAAATGCAGATGGCAGTGAAGTTGTTGCAAGCATTCATGAGAGAGAGTACCCGGTACCTCCAGAATTTATCAGAACAACTTGGTAAGGGGCTGTTTCTTCTGTGGGACAGTACTTGCTGCTTGTTTATTGAATTCAGAACTGGCATTTTGCTCAGTCCAGCAAACACTGTCTTATGTGGCATTAAACGGTATTGGAGACTAAGGATGATAAAACAATTATTTAACAAAGGATTCATTTACTTTTATTACAGCTTGTAGTCCCCCTTTTCGTGGGGAAAGGAGGGAGAGGACAGGGTGTCTCTGTTCAAGCATATGCTTCCTACTGATTTGTTGTTCTGGACAACCCTAGGACATCTAAACCATCAGTAAGCTAATGCTGGAAGTTAGATGAAGGATGTCTGTAGGTTTAGTTGAACGTTGTGCTGCTTGATACCAAGGTGCTTCCATGTGACCCTGAAAAACATATGGCACCTCTCTGAACACTGCCTGTTGAAACTATCCACATAAACCTGCTGCCTGGTGTTCTTTGAGCCAAGAATTGGCAACATCAGCCCTAAATTGCTGGGGATTGTACTAGGTTTTTAGGAGGAAGAACTAAGAGTAACTGGCTGGAGTCTAATGTTGGGGTTTGTGGAGGGTACCATCAAAACAAAATCTGGGAGGTAGAGATGAGGAAACTGAGGCTAAGTGAAGGGCTGGGACAGGTTTGGGGCCTTCACCTTGCACAACTGGTGGTTAGATGCTGGGAGTCCCTGTCGTGCACCAAGCCGGAGCCAGTCCCAGGCTCTGCTTCTCATGGTGACTTCTCTTCCAGCCTCAAGAACCTTCTGCCACTTGGAGAACTCGCCTGCGCGGAAGCTGCTGGGGGCGTCCAGGAAGCAGCTCCATGGTGCTGGGAGTCAGCAGCCGCCCGAGGGCTGAAGGCAGGCGCTGGGGGGGTCGCTCCCGCCTTTGCATCCCCCTTCCGGCGTCCGGGACAGCAGCTGCAGGGGGTGGGTGGTTACAGTAGCCTGCGCCTGTATCGTGCTTGCCTGCGGTGCCGTGAATAAAGCTGAAGCGACGGCCCTTGCCTCGTGGGCTGCAGTGCGGGGGGGCGGGCTGGCTCAGCTGGCAAGCTGCGCATGCGTGCACAACCCAGGCTCGCGCCAGGTATTTCCCGCTTCCGCATTCGAATGACGTAACGCTCGTCCTGCACGGAACCGTCTTATTGGCTGCGGTAGCCGTCCATCGCATCGGGGGAG